CAAGCAGCTGAGAGTGGATCTTGCGAGTTGTGGGTCTGAAGCGGTTGAAGCTTGATCTGAAAAAGCCAGTGAAGAACTGAAGAATTTGTGGTGCCTCGCTGAAGATTGGTGATATAATCTCTATTTCTTGTCTCTATTTCATATTTTCTTGATGTTGGTTTATGATATATGCAGTAGTCTCTGATGTGCATGTTGTCATTGCTTTCTAGTTTCTCCATTGGAATTTTTGGATTTAAATTCAGTAGCGTGTACACTGTATAAACTTTGTATTCTGTGATTGTATTGAATAAAAGTGCATGCTAGAGGGCGTTTGACCCTCATAGGCCAACTTGGATGTAGGAAATTCTTTAACAAAGAATTTCTGAACCAAGGATAAATTTTTGGTGTTGTTCTTTATGTTTTTCGCTTCTGCAAGTTTGTTTTCTGGGTTGATTCTTTGTAGCTCTATACCAAGAATTGTAATATAACATGTAATAAGTGACATCAACAATATTTCAATAAATAATTTGTCTAGCCAAGTTAGGTCTTTGGCGATCATATAGTCATGCCAGGAATTGGATATTTCTTAGTGGAGATAGGACTTTAACCTGCAACAAGTAACGTGTATGGAAATTCAACAAATAATTTCAATAATTCAACAACTAACATCTCTTTTGGTAAGTGCTTGGCCCTGTAAGGTCTTCGAGAGTGCCTAGATGAGCTAGGCCTTTTAAATTGTTCATAGTTGGGGTTGCAATATATACCTTAAAAAATATGGAGTATACAAAATTGCAAAAAGATGTCATCCGTTAACTGTTAAAGTGTTTGTAGTACAATTATAATCAAAAGAGAACATTGAAAGGGTTTAAGAATGAATCACATATGTGTTATTGAGTAGCTACCCTTTTTGAAGGCCGAGATAAATTGTCAACCAACTGACCCCTCTTATAAGTTGTTGACCATCTGACCATTTAAATGTTGGTCATCCAGCCATGTAAGTGTTAGGCATCCGACCAAGTAAGTGTTGGTCACTGCGCCATGTAAATGTTGGACATCCAGTCATATAAGGCTTAAAGCATAGAGGCATAACGTACTCTCTATATTGATGAACAATTTACCGGTGATAACTCATTTGTTGAGAGCTATTTTTAGGCTTTATTTACATGATTTGGTGCCATATTATATCATATTTCCCTTTTCCCTTAGAATTGCATGATGTTAGCATTAATTTTGTCTCGTTATGTTTTGATTGAGAAATATGCTAAGTGTTGATATCTTATATTATTTAAAATGTTAGACCAATTTGCTATCTTTGTTGTTTTTGTTGCTATAACCCAATCCCCAAAACGAATATTGCTTGAAGTACCAAATTTTGCTTCTGCTAGGGGTGTTTTATAATTAATTCTTACAACAGTAGTGTCTTCATTCATATTAACATTAACGACTTTACCCTGAAGCATCCTTCCATCATGCAATGTAACTTCAATATGTAGGAATATTGGTTGTAAGAACAAGAAATGAGTGTCGAAAGTCATAATTTCATCACAGAGCTATAACAAATTACAAGTAAATGTTCGAAATAAGTACTCAAACCTTCCCTAACACGTCTCCAAAACCAATGCTCAAATAGTGTATCCATAACACAAATCCATGACCTTGTTTAAGTAAATTTGAGCTCTTTTTCACCCAGACCAATAGCATTTTAAGCTTCAATTTTCATTTTTTTTAGATCTCGTAAGTTTTGTTATCGGTTGAAACTTTCAAATATTATTCTTGACGAGCTTAGAAAATTCAAGGGCGTTTGGATAATTTTTTTTCCTCGAGAATCATGATTTCCAAGAATATGGTGAGAAAGTTACTTTCCTACGAATGTAACCAAAAATATTATTTGATAAGCCGAAATATTACCAAAATTTTGTCCCAAAAGAAGTGTAAATTTTTTCCAACACATGGGATTCCAAGAATACCACCCTTTTGGTGCTATTTTTGGATGACATTTAGGAAAAAAAATTATACATAAAATAAAATATCGAAAAAATTAGATTCCTGAAAAAAAATTCAAAAACCTTATACCAAATATGGATAAATCGGATTGCTACCACAATCACTTTACCAGGAATCTCGAAAAATTTCACCTACCATACACCCCCTTAAACATCTTTCTTATGAAGTTTCTTTGTCCGTCTATTGATTTTTCTCTAGCCATATTGTTATTTTTTGGTCTCTATTTGTCTAGTCATGTTTATTTAGCCCATTTTATATTTTTTTTTGGTAAGCTTTATACTTTCTTTTCTTTTTTTAAAAAAGTAATCATTTGCACCCATCTTTTTTTTTTTTTGGGTAAACACTTTGCAACCAACTTAAAGTAATAAGATTTATTTCAAAGGTAACTATTAAAATATTTTCAAAATATCTCTGTTTTTTTTCATAATATAAATCTCTATTAATATTAAATTTTCTTTTTTTTACCGTATATTTCAAGATGAATTTGTAATTTAATATTAAATATAAAATATTTATAAATAATATAAAGTTAAATATCAATGTATGTTAAATTATATATATAGTGATTAGTGAGAGAGAACCAACTCGTAACTTAGAGTATGTTTAGAATTTGTTTCGAAAAACAGTTTTTTTGATTTTTAGAATAAAAAAAATCATTTGATAATGTTTGTTTTCTAAAAATAAAATAAAAAAATCCTAACTTTTTTTTAGAATCATATGCAGAGACATACCCTGTTTGAACACAGTATTTTAAAACAATTTTTTGTTTTTTAAAAAGAAAAAAAACTGTTTGGTAAGGCTATTTTGTAAATATAATTTTAAAAATTATAACTATTTTTTTTTAATTTTAAGATCAAATTTAGATAATATATATCTGAGTTGTTTTTATCAAAGTTGTAAAAACCAAACCGAATCGGCCAGGTCGACAACAAAACCCAGTGAACCGGTCATCTGACCGGTTCGATTATCAAATTGGATAGGTCAAGTATCAAACCCAGTGCGACCCGATTGATTTTGGCTAAAATCGGTGACCTGATCGGTTAACATGTGACCCGACTTGATTTATTTTTTAAAAAAATATTCCCAATTTTTTTTCATAATTGACATATTTAAGTGATCTGTTACTTATTGACTTACATATGTTATATACCTACAATACTAATATTATCTCAGTTATGCACTAAGCAGATAATTTGTATTTGATTTATAGTTAGAGATGTCGTTTACTGAACTTAAAATACCAATATCACAAATATTATATATTTGTTTGATCCTTTATTAGACAATACTGTATAATTTATTATTTGTATATTAAAATGTTTATATATTAATTTTTTCAGCTATTTAAGTATATTTATAATTTTTTAATATAAATTATAGATTTACATATAATTACTGAGTTATGAGGTTGAACCAATGACCCACTGGTTAAATCAGTGACTTGGTATCTCGACCAGGTCAATGACCGAGCTGATCTTAATAACATTAGTTTTTATTTTCTGTTTTGGTTTTAATTTTTCTAAAAAAAAATACACAAAAAATATTTGTTTTCATAACTATTCTATAAAATAGTTTTAAAAATAAAATAATCAGAGCACAATAAAATAGGCCTTACAGTTTTTTATTTTATTTTTTACAAAACAATTTTTACCAAATGGATTTTTTGGTTATGAAAACCAAAAAACTTTTTAAAAATAGTATTCAAACAGATTTTATATCTCAGTTGTTTATGTTTTGTGTTTTGACTTTTAATTTAAAAAAAAACACATATTTTATTAACTATTATACAAATAAATTTTAAGAATAAAAAAACCAGAACCCAATTAAATACACCAACTACTCAAATAAATGAAAACTCAAGTTTGATTTATTAATCCATTCGCCAAGACTTTTAATTCAATAAATTTTTAATCAGTCGCAAGAGTCGAGTTAATTTATTATCTACTTGAGAGATTATCATAAGAAGAATACTTATCTACTCGAGAGATTAACATAAGAAGAATACTTAATTTTTTTCTTTTCCATCACATAAAGAGAAGGAAAAAAAAGCACAAAGTGGGATCCATTTTAATTTTGTACAGCAAAGAAGATTTTTTTCTCATGTAACATGAAAAAATTAAAATCCATAAACTAAATTAATAAATAATTTCTATAACTTTAGTTTTAATATAAAACAATTATTTAGTGCATAAAATTAAATAACTATTTTTTGGATATAAGTAAAAGTTAAACACCAAATTTAATACAATTTATCCAAACCCTTCACCCTAAACCAATCCTAGTGGCTTAAAATTAAGTAACTATTTAATAAATTGTTTCTTTATTAAATAATTACTTAAGTTTATTAAATTAAGTAACTCTTTAATAAAGAAACAATACGTCAAACATTTATTAACTCAACCTAAAAATACTCGATACATGACCCACACAAGATTTTTAATTAAAACATATAGGAAAGTGTTGTAATTGTGTGGATCGAGCATCAGGCGGCCCATACTTGAGGGACACTTTTCGAGACTGCAGCATAAGACATAGATATTTTTTAAGAAAAAAAGCTGAAAAATATCTATCTTCTTGGAACTTGGATCGTTTTTTATTTTAATCTTGTCGTTGGTGTTTTGGTTTTGTTGTCGTCGTATGCTTCTTTATTTGTCAAATCCCCCTCCAATACCCAACTCCGTAAAACGAATGCCGTAAGGGACACTTTTCGTCTATATGCTTTACTCTATTATCAGCAATTAATAAAGGGTAAAGATGTAAAATGTCATTTTAAGAGAGGGAGGAAGAGATAGATAAAAAAAGACAGATAGTTAAAAAAAAAAATTAAAGATATAAGTCTCGTCTCTGTCTGAGAGTGAAAAGATATAAATTGTGTCAGGGATAAACACTTTTTCCGTTAATAAATTATTTGTTGGTCGTGTTTGACGCACGCAGGCACAGTTGAGCACTGCCCCACTCAACTTGCGTATAACAAGTAAAGTAATGTATCTATAAAAATTTGTTGGCATTCATTTTCATTCTGTCTCGACTCCATTTGAGGAAATGGCTTCAACTCTTCTGACCCTCGCGACACTCTTTCTAGCTTTCTCCGCTTCTTTTCTCCAGGTAATTTTCTTTCTATTGTTCACTCTTCAGGTCATGTACTGTTTATTGTGTGTAAGTTCTGAAATCACAACGTTGTTGACAGATCGCTGGGGCAGAAGCAGAACAGCTTACTAGTCTTAAGCTCAACTCTCGTATTCTTCAGGTGATTACTTTAAATCTCCTCGTTTTCCATGTGTATATGAGATATCGTTACCAAATTAATTGGGGAAAACGCTTGTGCTAGTGACTGATGCTTATTAGATTTTGTTTTAATTTTAATTTTTTTTTTGTTTAATGAATATTTGAATCTACGGTTCATGCCTCGTGATTGATGAATCTTTTTAACATGATCATGCAGGAGTCTATCGCTAGAGAGATTAACGAAAACCCAGGGGCGGGATGGGAGGCTGCTATAAATCCTCGTTTCTCTAATTATACAGTTAGCCTTCAACTTCACCAACATACCTATGTTGTTGTTGTTATTGTTATTGTTGTTGTTGTTGTTGTTGTTGTTTACCGTTTTAATTTGCATTTCAATTGCACAGGTTGAACAATTTAAGCGCCTTCTTGGAGTCAAACCAACGCCTAGGAAGGAACTGAGAAGTACACCTGTAATAACTCATCCAAAATCATTGAAATTGCCAAAGAATTTTGATGCAAGGACAGCTTGGTCCCAGTGTAGCACTATTGGAAGAATTCTAGGTCACTTAATTGCTCCTTCTAATTCATTTCTTATAATTAAATAGTGCATTTTGAAGTAGGTGCTGACTCTTCTTTCTATTGTTGACAAAAACATGGGTTGCTGAACTGATGTCCTCATTAAAGATCAGGTAATTCTCTTATTTTTTCTCATATTAGCAACTTTTCATACATTCAAGGTTCAAGAAGTTCTTAGCTGATCCTCGTGCTGATGATTCAGGGTCATTGTGGTTCTTGTTGGGCGTTTGGTGCAGTTGAATCATTATCAGATCGCTTTTGCATTCATTTTGACGTGGTTAGTAAAACTTCTTGGTAAAACAATGTTAAAACTTTATCTTGCTTATTATATGTGACTGTGTGTATTATTTGCCACAATTTTGTTGTCTTCTCTCCCTCTCTCTTTATACACACACCCTGAGGGGCTTGACCACTTGAAAGAGGGGTTTATTTCCTACCCGTTTAATTGCAGAATGTCTCTCTCTCTGTTAATGATGTTCTCGCATGCTGTGGCTTTTTATGTGGATCTGGTTGTGATGGGGGGTATCCCATATATGCTTGGCGATACTTAGTCCACCATGGTGTTGTGACCGAAGAGGTAAAATATTTTCATTTTGCTTTGGTAATTATAAAAATGGTTATTGCTTAGAGACTAAAATCCTCGGCTCTTTCTTCACTTAGATCTTCCCTTCAGTTGATGCTAATATTTTGTTGAAGACTTATATTTCCCAACTTATCCCTATATCTTTTTTCCGCACTTTCTTATGATAGTCATTTTCTTTTTTACATGTGGCAGTGTGACCCTTACTTTGATCAAATTGGCTGCTCCCATCCTGGTTGTGAGCCAGGATATCGAACTCCCAAGTGTGTTAAAAAGTGTGTAAGTGGGAACAAGCTCTGGAAAAAGTCAAAGCACTACAGTGTCAATGCATATAGGGTCGAGTCTGATCCCTATGATATCATGGCAGAAGTTTATAAGAATGGGCCAGTTGAAGTCGGATTCACTGTTTATGAGGTAAATGAAAGCTCTTACCCATGATTTTGTATTTAAATTTTCTGCAGCTTCTGTGGTCAAATTTTGAAACTCAACCATCCTATTTAAAATTTAGAATTGTACAATAATATTTTCGAGACATATTGAGAATGGTTGTAATGCCGAAGCAGTAACCAATTGGCTAAACAGAAAGAAGAACGAAGAAGTGCGAGAAAATACTATTTTTTTTTTTTTTGTATAGCAAAATACTATTTCTCTTTTCTTAATTTTATTCAACCAAAAACAACCAAATAACAATAGGGTTCCCAAGCGTTAAATAGGCAAAACAAAACAAAACGAAAATAAAATCAAATAGAATCAAAAGGAATCATGCGCAGTCAAAGGAGATAATACACAATCAACGCACACTCAAACATAATCTAAAATTAACAAAAAGGGGAATAACTAACAATTACTGAAAGCCTTAAACTATGGAATAAATTATGGAAAAGCCCAAAACTGTTAATGCTAATGATAAAGAGACGAGTCTTGCTCAGAAGCCCATTTCGAGTTGCCTATGCAAATTTGAGCACAATCCAAGTCGGTCAGCTCGGGTGCATCATCCTCCCTCGCTAGGAAAAAATTCTCCCTTGAATCTGTTTTGTCTTCATTGATATCAACTTCTTCAGGAGATAATCTAGGTGGCAACTCTTCTGGTACAATATCACCAAATTCCCTAATTAAAGGTAGAACTTGTGAATGCAATTCTTTGATATGCTTGGTATGTTCATTTACATTTGAACTAAACTGCTTGGGAACTAGAAATGATGCGAGTTCTAAGGGAGTAAGTGGACAAAACTCATAGACTATCCCAAAAAGACTATTGCCTGTAGTTTGATTCAGTGATCGCATTTGTGATCCGTCATAGGAAAATTCTGCCTGAGGTAACATCAAGTCCGATTGCCCTTGACGATCTCCAATTAAACTTCTACCAAAAGCTAAATCGTTATTTCCATGGAGTACGAGGTTGCCATGTCCGTTATGCCTAAGTTCATAATTTTGCTTGCAAACTAAGGATTTCATAAACGAAGGATCATTTCGCATGACATCTTTGGGAAGAACTTTTGCTTTGTCAGATATATTAGAATTTCTAGTAATTGACTTTCCACCGAAATTACTATAAGGGATTCTCATCGTATCATAAATAGGAAACTCATCATAAACTGGAGCATCTATAATGGGATTCTCATCGTATTCATCATAGATAAGGACCTCATCATAGAATGGATACTTATTGTTCTTATCTTCTTTGGATTCATAATAGACGGGGACCATTCCGCATCTGGATTCTCATCGTCTTGCTCCCAATCATACTTATCATAAATAGGAAACTCGTCATAAACTCGAGCATCCATAATGGGATTCTCATCGTATTCATCATAGATAAGGACCTCATCATATAATGGATACTTATTGTTCTTATCTTCTTTGGATTCATAATAGACAAGGACCTTCAGGTCTTCCGTCAAGGTCTCTGATGTCAAAGAACCTTTCGACGATTTGTAACCAGTCGATAAACTCATTTGGATGAGTGGTGTCTTCGAATTTCGAGATCTCAATCTTCACCCTAATATTAGCAAAAAAATAATTTATCACCAAGTTGACTTCGTCCTTGTCGCTTCTGGTTTGTTCCAGAATGAGTTTTCACGTTTTTTCTCTACATGAGATGATCTTTAAGACTCCATTCCTTCAGCTGACTCGGCCAAGGGCAAGCAGTTGTTCGAGCTCCTGAATTCGTGTATCTTGTTCTGCCATTGCGCTACAATTATGGCGTCTCGCACGTAGATGTGTGGTTGTTCATCGTTGCCGTTAAGGGTGTTACCACGCCCCTCTATCGCCGCCTCGACCCCGTTGTCCACGACATTGACCACCATTGTTTTGTTCAGCCTTTTATGTGACAAAAAGTTAGGATTTCACGAAAGAGTAACCCTCTGATTCTCAATTTCTAATTAACAAAATAACAAAATTCAACTTCTAGAACAAGGGTCTTAAGCACCCTTTTTATAGAATAATTACAAATTGATTCAAAATTCAAAATTCAAAAATCTCAAATTCTAAAATAAGAAAACTTCCTAAAATAAATATAACAGTAATTAACTTCTAAATATAAATAAATAGTTACAATTAAATCATTTAAATACGTCCAAAATTTTAGATCTCAAATCATGACAAATGTGTTGTTTTCCTTTTCTCGCCAAACAAATCAGAATCACATCTGCTGCTTCCTTTGGACTTGGATTTGATTGCAATATGCTATATTTCAAATTACTACTTATTTTAACAATTGAGCCATACTTATTGGACCACAATACTGGTTGATTCTGGGCTTCTTGAATCAATGGTTGGGCCATGTGCAATGGAGCAACTGTAAGTGCATCAGGTTGAGGTTGGATGTCATGTGATCTTATGTGCAAAACATATTATAAAATATGAATTTATGAATGGGCGTCGAGAGGAATGAGAAATCTCTGTTAGGTTTTCATGGTTTAGCAGAAGAGTTAGTGTGAAAATTGAAGAGAGTATTATTTTTTTGGACTCTACCAGCATTAATTGAAGAGAGTATTCTATTATGTAAAGGAGTGACATTGACCATTTGAGGCTTTTCATTTTGCTTAACAAGAAGCCTGTTTAGGATCAAGATCTATCCTGCATTCTTTCAGCAGATTATGCTGGATTCCAAAACTAATTATGGATTGGCTTTATGTTGGAATTTTGAAAATGAGTATTAGTCTTTCAAGAGTTTACATGAAGGAGGACCAAAACTCCATATGTGAAGAATTGGTAAGGGTTGAAAATAAAGTTTGGTTTGCTGAAGCTTGTATGGATGGACATTGAAGTTAGTGTAACCATCCTTCAAGTCTAGGCTAATGCTTTAAAAATTTGTGTCTTATTCTCCTAGAATTATTGTTAAATGAAAGGTAAAGTTCATTATTTTTGTAATATTGAGAGTGCTTGCCTAATCATATGCGATTTTGGGATAGCGTTTACGAGAATGTGGATGCGCAGATATCTATGTTGTAATACAAGGAATTATGAATTATGAAGTTGGAAATTCATTTTAGGGTGGCAATTTTGTGGTCGCAGCAGTGATAGTCATTGGCCCCACTGACCCTTTGGTGTTGGCTCCACCACGAGTGTGTGCATTGAAGATGGTATGATTGAGGATTGTTTAGGGTAAAATCCTTGAGCAAGATAATTGAAGGGACAAAGAAATAAGGATGAGATAAATGGACAGGAGTGGTAGGAGGAGATAAAGCCGTAGGCTTGAGAAATTTATAGTAATTTTTTTTTTTGTAATTCTTTTACTTCTAACATGGTAAAATTTCAATTTTCATTAAGAACTCATCTAATATGGTTTTCCCCTTAATTGTCGTGTTAGCGCTTTTAGATAGTCCTAGATACAAATAATCCTCCCCCTAAAAGTCACCTGCAGTGAATCTTTTCTTTTCCCTGTTTTTTAGTTGCCTTTCTTAGGCAGCGAAGCTCTAAGATTTGTACAAGAGCATCTCAACATTTACAATGGAGTTCTCAACTTTATCATATACTTGCATTGGGATGCACTGCTAGGCTAGACTACAGTGAAATAATCTCAATGAAATTTGAAACTCTATTGACAGAGAAAACTGGAATCTGTCTATACTCTTAGGCTTGTAAAGCTAAGAAGAAAAGACAAATTGTGATTATGAGTCATTGGATTCACTTTAGAAAAGCATCAACGTATACGAGTCAGCTTTTTTTTTTTTTTTTGGGAGGGGTTTTTACGTGCTGTAAAAGGATATAGTGTGCAACTGCAACTTTCTATATCACTTTCATGTCCCCAATCATACGGGCAGGATATGAATAGATTAATATATACATCTTTCCTGTTTAAGATCTTCTCTGAGAAGAGCTTTTCTTTGCTTGTGACCTTTCAATTAACAAAAACATCTGGAACCAATCTCCCGTCCTTTCCTTACACATGTAATTTTAGACCTCAAACATAATAATTACATTTACAGAACCTTTTGTTTTGTTTTGTGTGTATGTGTGGAATAGTCGCAGCAGGCATATTATTTGTTTTGTTTGGTGGTTTTGAAATAAGGATAACTTTCACTCATTTGACCTCTTCACAGGATTTTGCTCACTACAAATCAGGAGTCTACAAACACGTCACAGGTTATCAACTAGGCGGTCATGCAGTAAAGTTGATTGGGTGGGGAACAACTGACGATGGAGAGGACTATTGGGTAAGTTTACATGTTCCTGATTATTGACACTTAAAAAGTTTTTTTACCCCCTAGACATACTGCAATCAGAATTCTATACTGATTGGATCCTTTTCATTGTTTCAGCTTCTCGCAAATCAGTGGAATAGAAGTTGGGGAGATGTATGTTTCTTGAATTATTCTTCACCTTGAATATCTGTTACTAAAGATATGCCTCAGCTAATGAACTAATTTAATCTAAATCGCAGGATGGTTACTTCAAGATCAGAAGAGGAACAAACGAATGTGGGATTGAAGAAGATGTTACTGCTGGTTTGCCTTCCACCAAAAATTTCGCAAGAGAGATTGATATGGATGCTGATGCTGATGTTTCATTCTGAATATTAATATATCACCTTTCCAATTAGATTCTGTATGGTTATTGAAAAATCTGCACCAACTGCTGTCTATTACTCTGTTAGTCTGTTTCAAGATCTAAATTATGATTATGATGTTGAAAGACAGTGAGCTTTTGTGGGTTATGGGCTGTTACACGAAATAAGAGAACAACTTCTGTAATTACTGATTAGCACTTGGAGTAATCATGTCCTCTAGTTAATTTTGCTGAGACGATGCTTAATTGATGGCGAGGCTTGATTTTCAAATATTGTTGAAATGATTTTCAAATTCCTGTGTATGAAAGCACAATGTATCTTCTTTTTAGTTTCTCTCGTGGGTGCAAAAATCATTGTTTGTTCAAAGCATCAGTAGCTGTCTCAACTGTGAAGGGTTCCGTTAGTAACCCGGTTAAATACAAGGAAAAATTAGACAAATGCGGAAGAGCTCGATGAGCTTGTTAACATATATAAAGTGCACTATAGTCCTGAAATAGCTATCGAGACTAGCGAGAGCTCTTCAATGAGACATTTTCCCACCATGTGGCGGACCCCACATTTTACGAGTCAGCAGGAGAAGGGAAACTTTTACTCTAGAAGGAGAAGTTTAAATCCCATTAATCAATAATATCGCAACCTTTGAAAGAATGCGTGCGACGTGACGCTAGTTTTTGTCTGGTTTTCATTTTTAATCTCTCGGCAAAATGTTGCTTTCTTAAGTAAAGAAAAAAAGTGATGGAACAAGGAAGGAAAGGCAGTGAAAGAATCCACGTGCAGCATCAATATCTCATTGGTTTCTGAAAAGAACACAAATTGATTGTCATGATATTAATTATTGGGAAAAATATTTATATGAAGATAAAGTTATTTTCACTGAACTCAAAATAATGTCATTTTGAGTCATCAGATTAAAAAATTAAAATTATAAAGACTAATATAATACTGTAATATATTAAAATTATAAAAATACTTTAATTTTTTCTCCTAAAACGACATAATTTTAGACTTACCGAAAATAACTTATCTCTATTGACTTAAAAAAATCCTTTACCCTTAATTATTTGCAATAAACTAAACTCCAGCTAAAAAATTGCTCGTCAATTAAGTGGAAGCATTCATTAATGAAGATTCTTCATAGTCAAAAAGGTAATAAATAATTATAAAAGTAGTTGCTCTTCCACCATGTCTTTCACGTTCTTTTATAAGATTTTCCATTAATTTAAGTTACTTCTATCAGCTCTTCACATGCAAATTATTTAATTACGTTAGTTATAGATAATGTGCGACTTACATGCCTCACGCGATGTGAAATAAGTAATGTATTTTGATAAAAAAAGTAAACGAAGAAAGAAAAAATAAAGTTGATTGATATTCTCTAAATTAGGTAGGGAAAATAATATTTTACTCAGAAAGCATAATGATTTAAGGCAGAAACGTGCAAGATACACATTGCAAGTTGCAACAATCTTCCCTTCAGGACCCACCAAATGTCGGAACCCACAAATTGTCATTTCTTCCACGTTTGTTTTCCCGTTGTTTTACCCGCTTATTTGAATGGAATTTTTTTTCTATTTTTATTGCAGATTTTTTTTTTTCTTATCAAGATTTTTTAGATACAAACAATGGAGACAAATCTCGTATTTTTTTTTTAGATCTCACTTATATAAAAAAGTGAGTGAATATTATTATAAAGCGAAATAAATTCTCTCATATTTAAAAAAAATGACCTAATCATATAATATGATCATAATCATATAAAGATGAATCAATAGTTAAAATTTAATAATTTTCTATTTTAATATTTTTTTCTCTTTTTTATTATCATTGATTTATATTTAAATAATTATGAATATTCACATGATCATACCATATTTTTTTAATATAAAAAGATTCACTCCTATTATAAAAATAAAAGAGAGAAAATATAAGTGAAACATACTCATCCCCCCTCCCCTTCAGCACACATAAAAAACAGAACTCTATTTACAACTGTTCTCTAATCATACACAATTATTCATGTAAGGATGCATCACTACAAAAAAGTTAAATAGCTATGTCATTAATTATATATAGCTTGAAACGTTTTAATACCTATTATCTATACAAAATTTTATTTTATAAATATATATTTTATACTATTAAATTTATTTTAATAGATTTTTTTTAATAATATATATATATATATATATGGGGAGGGTTCTTTTGACTCCAGAGTAAGACTTTTAAGTCTTACTCCAAATCCCAGCCGTTGATGGACGGAAATCAACGGTTGTCATTAATAGTATAATTAATAATTAATTAATTAATATAACTTCCTAAATTATAACCGTTGGATGGACGAAAATCAACGGTTAGGATGGAGAGTAAGACTTACTCTTGAGTCAAATGATCTCTCTCCTATATATATATATATATATTCTTATCGAAATCAGACATTTATCATTTTTTTTTTGTCTATATGAATAGCTCATTGCTCATACCATATAATAATCATAAAAATTCCTGTTTAATAGTTGAAATTCTACATGTAGATACACACTATGTATCTAGGAATTAGTATCATAAAATATATTAAATTTGCATTGCTTTTTCTTCAAGCCTTATCCATGAGATGTGAACTTAACTTTAATTTAGTCTTTTCCATTTCATGGAGAACTGTGAACTCTTCTTTTATTCTTTTCCATTTTATGAAAAACTATAGTGAACATTAATTTATTTCTCTATGTCACTATTTTTTATGGTGTGAGTATATCTTAGGGAGAGAAGGACATATCAATCTAATCCAATTCCCGTTTACAAGGAAATGTTGGTACGGTGGCAACTGGCAACTGTTCTGTTGATGAGCGCTTGGGCAGTACGCATCTTGAACCCAGAAATTTTCTTCTACGCAGCGTCGCAAAAACAGAATATTCACAGCATAAGGCATAACTTAAGCGCTTTCATATTAAGTGCCGCCCAAGAAAAGATTAGAATTAAAAAATACGTTTTAAAAATTATAATAATTAGAAATCTTTTTTGAAAAAAAAATTAAAAAATTATTTCAAAACTTTAAAAAATAATCATAAATAATAATTTTGAAAGGAGGAGAACTAACTTGCACTAATTTAAGTGTAACAAGTCTTATGCATTAAGTAACGTATAAATTGAAATCACTATGTGAAGGTAAGAGTTACATTAATGTATCTCATTTTTTAAGTACTTACGTGGCAAGATAAGCATACGCGTTAAAGAGATTTATTAATAAAAATAAAATAAAATAAATAAAGATTCGTCTTTTTTAAGTTTGATCACACTTACGCCTCTCCAGCTCATTCACGCCTTTCACGTTGTGAGAAATGGGGGGTTTTGTTGGTATAATTAAGGAAAAAATGAGAGAAAAAGATAAATAAAAAAGAAAAGCGGGTGAAAAAAAATATAAAAATGTGAATCTTACAACTTTGTGAGAATGAAATGACACAAGTTGTGTCATCTAAAAGTAGAAATAATTGTCCTTCTAATTAATTTTAGAAAATCGTAAGAATTTTCCCGGAAAATCCACAGAGCAAATAGAATAAAATGACAAATTAAAGTTGCTAATTCGAAAAGTGTGTGAAATGGACAACATATAAAATCACCTGTAACTGTTGGAAAGGAACAAGTGAGGTGATAACAAGTCTCTCTATCTTCTCTTCTCTTTCTTTCTTTCAAGTAACAGCAAGTCTTCTTCTTCTTTGCATTCTGCATTTTCGTTGTTTCAGCTTTGAAACGAAGTGAGTGAGAGTGAGAGTCTGTGGTGGAAGTGGAAGATGTCGACGATACCGAAAGAGCCTGAGCATGTGATGAAGATGAGAGGAGGTTCGGTGCTCGGAAAGAAGACCATTCTGAAAAGCGACCATTTCCCGGGTTGTCAGAACAAGCGTTTATCTCCTCAGATCGAAGGCGCTCCCAATTATCGACAGGTCTTGCACATTTCTCTCTTCTTCTATTTCCTTTTCTTCCTCTCTTCATTTCTCTTAATGGTTACTTTTGCTAGGCCGATTCATTACATGTTCATGGTGTTGCCATTCCAACAATTGATGGAATCCGAAACGTTCTCGAGCACATTGGCGCGCAATCACAAGGGAAGAGAGCACAAGTTCTTTGGATTAGCCTTCGTGAGGAACCGGTATATTATTGTTTTGCTACTCATTAACCTGTTTTTACCTTTTAAGTAGAAGGAGTTAGGATTTTCAAAGTATTGTTAGTTAAACTCAATCACATTTTTTTACCTAATATTGTTTCAACTTCTATTCTAACTTTGATGATTAATGCTCTTATAACGTTCTCCGCTGTTGCATCTCTCTAACTTTTCATTCTCGTCCTTTTTTGAAATCAGCTTGTGTACATTAATGGCCGCCCCTTTGTTTTGCGTGATGTGGAGAGGCCGTTCTCCAACCTTGAGTATACGGTATGATATTATTGACTAATTTGTCAAATTTTTATGCACTTATTTATGAGGCATGTCTAGGTTCTATGCTGGCTGTCTACCTAATGGAACACTCACCATTGGGGGAGTAACTTGTTTCAGTTGAATTGAGTGCATCACTTTTTTAACTCAGACTATTTTGTGGTCTAACTTTTGTGACATTGTGTACTTAATCAGGGAATTAATAGGGAAAGGGTTGAACAAATGGAAGCTCGTCTGAAAGAAGACATCCTGATGGAAGCAGGAAGGTATTTCTGCGGCTCCGTTCTGTATTTGCCTCAACTCTCAAATTTGTCCCATGGAATTTCATGGTTCTTTACTTTTTACTTTATTTGCATATTTTGACATAACAGATATGGGAATAAGATCCTTGTGACTGATGAACTGCCAGATGGTCAGATGGTGGACCAATGGGAACCGGTCTCATGTAAGTCAGTGAAGACACCACTAGAGGTATGGGTGAAACTTGTTTACATTGGGAGTATGACACTACTCAATCAGTTTTTTGATAGAAATGCTTCAAAGTTGTTTTATTTGCTGTAGGTGTATGAGGAATTGCAAGTGGAGGGATACCTTGTTGATTATGAACGTGTTCCTATAACTGATGAAAAATCACCAAAGGAACTGGATTTTGATATTTTGGTCAGTTCTTTGTATTAAATGTTCTGTTTTTTTTTTTTTTTTTTGGAATAAATGCTTCTGAACGGATTTTGTTTGCAAGAAAATTATGATTGTTCCTGCTTTGTTTTCACTCTATTTGTTATACTCTACCACTTTTGGTATCACTATATGGACAAATATTCTTTTGGTACAATCAAGGGGTTGGGTGATGTAATTTCCTTCTTTATTGCCTTGTCATTAAGCTGCTGATGAACAATGCTTAATTGTCTAGGGTCTTTTATTTGGTACAATAGTTATTAAGAAAACTGGTATTCACTTATTTAGTTTCCAGCCAATGAAGTCATGTATCTTATCAGTTCATCATCTTTGATTTCAGGTTCATAAAATTTCTCAAGCTGATGTAAATACAGAGATAATTTTTAATTGTCAAATGGGGCGTGGACGAACTACAACTGGAATGGTCATTGCAACTTTGGTCTACCTCAACCGAATTGGGGCCTCTGGTACTCCTTTTATTTATTTATTTATTCAACTTTTTTGATTTTATTGTTTGTTTTCTTTCATTCACGTCGTTGTTCATCCAAGAAATTTTAGTATAAGATTGTGATTTCTTGCATCTTCAGCATCTGATTTTAAGCTATTTATTTTTCTGTTTAAAGAAAAAAGAAAGGAACTCTATTATTCTTTAAGATGCACTACGCTGTTACACCAATACCAGAGCATATGAATATTCATTCCATCATTTGGTAAACATGAAATGTCTATAGAATTTTCGTAAGTGTGGCAATTTTTTTTTACCAAGTCAACATAAGGAAAATGGCTACATCCTATCTGTACTTGCTAGCATCTACCTTGGTTATGATGTAAGCTATGAGTTTAATGGAAGGGGAGCTGGTTAATTAATATTATAGAAGAGGAGCTGATTATTTCACTAGCTTCTTGAAAAAGAGAATAAATATTTATGGAAATACAGCTCTTTAGTTATCTCCGAAGGTTGCATTTTTGTTCATATCATTGCTAGGTTACAGGGCTTCTGTCCAGCTAGTGATCATGGGGATGTCGTGCATGTGGTGGGTATGCATGTACAAATGAGTCTAACATATGACATGAGAGCACTGACCTATTATGAGAGTGAGAGAAGTTCAACGCATCTATTGGATTGAGAGCTAATGGCCTGAATTATAATAGTAGGTCATCATTGTTTGTTTCCAATCCTTGCCATCCATACTTAATCCAATGACCGTGATGAGTTTCTTTCTGCTCTTACAATAAATCATTATTTTCTTTGGATATTTATGCATGCATAAGACTTTAGTTCCCTGAATATATTGAATAACCCTTGTTTAAAATTATTGCGAGGACCATTTCTTGGAAAGAAAATTGAAATGATGCCTAGCATGATTAAATTTATTCTTACTCCTTTGTCATTTAGTTTAAATCATAAGGTTACCAGTGGAATTGCTATTTACAAAATATTGTATTTATGTTATTACATGATAGGGATTCCAAGAAGCAATTCAATTGGTAGAATTTCTCAATGTATGACCAATGTTGCTGACCATTTGCCTAACTCAGAGGAGGCAATTCGCAGGGGAGAATATGCAGCAATAAGAAGCTTAATTCGGGTGTTAGAGGTATTGGCATTAAATTTGATGTTTCTTTTATAAGATGGAAAATATGTTCTTGCTGTCCTAATTTAGCTGACATGCTTCAGGGAGGCGTTGAGGGGAAAAGACAAGTTGACAAGGTCATTGACAAGTGTTCTTCAATGCAGGTATCTGTTTCTAATGATTAACTTCTAAGTTGTTTGTTTGTTTTGCTTCTTTGATGTTTTAAATTTCTTTCCTTGTATCTTGTGGGTTAAATTTTCTTATTTTTGTTGAGATATATAGTCCCACATTGGTTGTATGTGCAACTAATGTGGAGTTTATAAGGCCTTGGGCACTCCCATCCTTAGAGCTAGCTTTTGGGGTGGTGTATCCCAAGGTTCTTTACATGGTATCAGAGCCTCGTCGTCCCTCACTTTCTCTTGTGGAGTTTCTTAGCACAGGTAGGCTGGGCCTGTTGTATTGTCCACTCTTTGGCGTGTTGAGATATATAGTCCCACATTGGTTGTATGTGCAACTAATGTGGAGTTTATAAGGCCTTGGGCACTCTCATCCTTAGAGCTAGCTTTTGGGTGGTGTATCCCAAGGTTCTTTACAATTTTGTCCAAAAATGCCATATTTAATCCTTGTCTTGCTTGGATTTCAGAACCTGCGTGAAGCAATTGCCACCTATCGCAATAGCATTTTGCGACAACCAGATGAGATGAAAAGGGAGGCATCCCTTTCCTTTTTTGTGGAGTACTTGGAGAGATACTACTTTTTAATATGTTTTGCTGTGTACATTCATTCAGAAAGGGCTGTACTCCATTCTAGTAATGCTGGTCACATTAGTTTTGCTGACTGGATGAGAGCAAGGCCTGAACTTTACAGCATTATGCGGAGGTTAAAATTTTAATTATTGGGTGAAGTCTTTGAATTTTAATTTTAATTAATTTCTCTTCATTAGGTCTATGTAGTATGAACCTATATCTATGAGTCAAACTGGTTTGACTGTTGAATTGTTTCGGCCGAGTATATATAACAGTGAAAAGTTTCTATTCATAAATGTTAGTGAACTTGCTTCTACTTTCAGGCATAATCTTCCTTATATGGTCTGAGGTCCTGATTGTCTGGGTACCTCTGTACCTGTATTAAAGAAATCCTTGGGTTTATTGCTTTTAGGTTCTAAATTAATTAATCAATTAGGTCTTCAGTTTACAATCAAGTTTTATATATGTGCTAGTGCCTAGTTGGGTTGTAAGATTGGTATTAATTTTAGGTAGTGATTGTCTCTGTTTGAATTATGATGATGCTTAGGAAAGTAGAAAAGCTTCTTGTGTGTCTCCAAGACAGATTCTTTAAGGCATCCAATGTTAAGTTGGTTCTAATTATAAATAAAGAACAACACAAAGCTGATTTTATTATTGATTATTACATTATGCTTTGATTCCTTTTTACCTTTTTACCTTGTAAAACGTGTCTCTTTTGTCTTGTCCTTATTGTGGTTTACATCAGTTATCTGGAAAGAGGCACCAAAGACTTGACTCCATTTGAGATATCGATTATGCTTACAGTTTACAATGATTTTCTTAGTTAATTTTAACCAGAAGCTGTAAGATATCTTTGTTATCTAATATTCACCCTTGGTGTTACTAAATAATTTTCATCATCATATAACCAATTGGATTTCTGATTGTAATCTGATTCGTTAACTTGCTTGTTCTTATGTCTATAAACCTTTGGCATGAATGGTAACAATTGGCATTGCAGGTTGCTCAGGAGAGATCCAATGGGTGCACTTGGATGTTCAAGTTCAAAACCATCTCTAAAGAAGATAGCTGAATCAACTGATGACCGCCCTTCTGAGATGGGTGTGGTTGCTGCCTTGAGAAATGGCGAGGTTCTTGGTAGTCAAACAGTTCTAAAAAGTGATCACTGTCCTGGATGTCAAAACCCCAGTTTACTTGAGAGAGTGGATGGTGCTCCTAATTTTCGAAAAGTTCCTGGATTTCCTGTTTATGGGGTGGCAAATCCAACCATTGATGGTATCCGATCTGTCATTCGCAGGATTGGTAGCTCTAAAGGTGGATGCCCTATACTTTGGCATAATATGAGAGAAGAGCCTGTTATTTACATCAATGGGAAGCCATTTGTTCTTCGTGAAGTTGAAAGACCGTACAAAAACATGCTGGAGTACACGGTAATCATTACATATTTGACATATCTTTTCAATAAATTTTAAGGAAGGGGGGTTGCATAGTAGATGTTGTTGTCAGAAAAAATTCCTTCTGGTTTGTAATCCACTAGATCAAATACCACCGATTGGCTTTCCCAATTTTTCTTGAAGTCTGTCAATAGAATGTCTACATAGCAATTTAGTTGTAATTGGTAGCAGGAACCATCCTCCAATAAGAAAGTAGTAGTCTAATTAGGAAACAGTGTATCTAGAAGCAGCGAGACAGGCAAGGAGATCTTTTGTGTTCTGGTACTTTTGTTGTTCTTTCTAGAAAATATGATTATGTCATTATATATTTATAGTAGTGTGTTCAAGGGTAGCTAGGGGAAACCTGCTTTACTCTGAGGTATAATATTACATGAGTTTAAGTATTAAAGCCACAAAACTCATAATCTATGGCTTTGATATGTGATTTTAAGTTCATGTTTCAAATTCAAAGTTTGAAACATGAACTTCATAGCCCAGTTTCAATTATGGAGACATATATGTATGTATATATGTTTGTGTGCGTGTATATATGTATATATTGGGTCGAATACTGTAAAGGATCAACTTTCTTAAAATTTTAAGCTGTTAAGTGGAGACCCAAGAGTATTTTTATGTCCAACAAATATTATTTGACTCGTTAAAGTCAGTGCAAATTAGCTGGGGTAAGCACCTATACTTTGTTTGGATCAGGTCGGGGGATGTGTTAATATGTACATGGTCATACCAATGCTGAAGTAGATATAGCATGAGGCTTATCTAATATGTAGAAATTTAGATGTCATTAGATGCCTCTTTGAATTTCATGTTAATTTGGAAATTTGTCCCCAATTTTTGGTGAATTGGAAATTGTAATTTGTTGTTTTAGGGTATTGGACGTGAAAGAGTGGAGAAAATGGAAGCTCGATTAAAGGAAGATATCCTACGGGAAGCTAAACACTATGACAGTGCCATAATGGTTATCCATGAAACAGATGATGGACATATATTTGATGCTTGGGAGCATGTTAGCTCTGACGTGATTCAAACTCCACTTGAAGTTTTTAAAAACCTGGAAGCTGATGGGTTTCCCATTAAATATGCACGTGTACCCATCACTGATGGAAAAGCTCCTAAACGTTCTGACTTCAATACTTTGGCTGTTAATATTGCTTCTGCTACAAAGGATACTGCTTTTGTTTTCAATTGTCAGGTAATTTCTTAAATGTTTATCTCTTATGCTGTATTCTTTATGAACATGTTCATTTTGTGTTTATCTATTGATTCTTGTCTTTTTTTTCATTTTCATTTCTTACTGCTAATATCTCATTGACATAACAGATGGGTAGGGGCAGGACAACCACTGGTACTGTCATAGCTTGCCTTGTGAAACTTCGAATTGATTATGGTAGGCCCATTAAAATACTGGGTGATGTGACCCGTGAAGAATCAGATGGTGGTTTTTCAAGTGGAGATGAAGCCACGGGTTATGTCACTGTGTTAACCTCCAATACTTCGCAAATTGAGACAGATGAGAAACAAAATCGTGTTTTTGGTATAAACGACATCCTCTTGTTATGGAAGATAACGACATTATTTGATAATGGTGTTGAATGCCGAGAGGCCTTAGATGCTATTATTGATAGATGTTCTGCACTTCAAAACATTCGTCAAGCAGTCCTGCAATATAGAAAAGTATTCAATCAACAGCATGTTGAGCCTAGGGTTAGGAGGGTGGCATTAAACCGTGGTGCTGAATACTTGGAGCGGTACTTCCGTCTAATTGCTTTTGCAGCATATCTTGGAAGCGAAGCATTTGATGGGTTTTGTGGACAAGGAGAATCCAAAATGACATTTAAGGTTTGGTTGCATCAGAGGCCAGAGGTGCAGGCTATGAAACGGAGCATCAGATTAAGACCAGGGCGATTTTTTACTATCCCTGTAAATACTTTTCTACTTGAATTATTATTTTCCCTCAATTTGATGTAGGATTGCTTTAATAATGATTAATTTAAATTGTAGGAAGAGTTGAGAGAGCCACAAGAGTCTCAGCATGGAGATGCAGTGATGGAGGCTATTGTCAAGGCCAGAAACGGTTCTGTTTTGGGGAAAGGCTCCATACTGAAAATGTATTTCTTTCCTGGTCAGAGAACTTCCAGTCACATACAAATACATGGTGCACCTCATGTTTACAAGGTATTATTACTTATGTAAGTACTGCTAAATGTAACGCGCCATTGTAAAACTGGTTCATTAACATTGGGTATGATGTTAAGCGTAGTTATAATCACATTGGTTGAATTAAAAACACGGATAAACTTTTTTCTTTTAAAACATAGTTCATTTCCATTTAAACAAAACCGTATTTAAAATAACCAACACCATAATTATAACCAAGTAATATTGCGGAATAACTAAAACACGCTTAGACATATCATACTAGTCCTAAGAGATACCACTATGAGGTTCCCAAAGGTCTCACACTCTAATTTCTCATTTTTTTGGAAACTAGGCTCCTCGCTGGCTTACTCGCTCTAGCGAGCATTTCATAAGTGCTCGCTCAAGCGAGCATGTCAGCGAACCCTGCACTTCTTTTCCTCGCTACTCAGCTCGCTCTAGCGAGTAGTGCAGCGAAAAATTGGACATTCAGGTATTGTAGAGGCAGTAGCTAATGCCTCAGACCCCTGCCTCTCGCTTGTCCAAGCGAGCAGCCCTCTGTTTCGCTCAGCTATCTCGCTCACCAGCTTGCTCTAGCGAGCAAATGGGCGAGAGCTCCCCTGCATCACGTTTTGCCACTGTCAAGGGTCTAAATGGCTCGCTGGACCTCTCGCTCTAGCGAGGTGGCCAGCGAGCAACCCAAAAATTGCACAGGGCTTGTTTGTTTCTGCACAAACCAAAGGGGCACTTCCCCCACTCTTTTGTACCTAATTGACACATGAAATGGCACCCCTACAAACTAGGATGCTCTTATATCCACAATATTCACATCAACTTAGGACTCTTTAATACCTTTTTAACTTAATCAACAAGACACTATCTCGTTCTTACATATTTCATGCACATTATCATTACGACACAAAGTAATAATCACCAAACATGCAAATAGGCATCCATGCCCTTCCACCATATAAGCATAAGGTCAAATGTTACACAAGGTTCAATATTCAAATACATAATTATGGAACTTAGCTACAAAACAGTGTGATCATATCTTTGACTCCCTCCAACAACAAGAGATGCCAAGGGAAATGAGCATAGGCTAAGTCCATCAAAATACGTCATAATATATCAAAAGATAACAATGTCCATCAAATATAGATCCTATACATGTTCCTCTATCATATACATACGATATCCCCAAAATGCATTATGCACAAATGTAGTATACTATGGCCTCCTGTCAATCGATGCTCCAACATCATCTGTACCTGAAAGGGGCCAGTATAACGTGGGGTGAGATATACATATACATCTCAGTAAACTAAAGGTCCTTGTGGATTTCTCCACCCCCAAAGTTCACTTTAGGCATACCAGCATGACATTATGACAATAAAGCATATAAACATATATCACATGTAATGTGTGCAAAATGAATCTACTGGCCAGAGATCTACAATGTAAGCATTACGCAAGGAAATAACCTTCTTGCAACATACCATGCATAAGGAAACAACCTTCTTGTGTGGAACACAAAACAACATACATAAAATGCTAAATCTCACAATTCATGCAATTACGCATACCACATAAACCACAATCCACTCGGGACTTGGTGGAACAACAAAGGGATAAAACCCAAGGTCCGAAAGCTTACCTTGTAACGTTTCCAACCAAATGCCTTCTTCTAAAGCAGAACAATTCCAACTACAAGGAACTCGAGGAATGTCCACAACAAAACCCACCCAAACCAACACCTACACTTGACCTCAATCAAGCTCCAACATCCAAATCCATGGAATCCACTGGTGTTTGACCTCCTAGCTCTTGTCCAAATGATACAAGCCTAAGGATCAATTGAACACAATCAATCCCACAATATCAATAGAATTACACTACATAGGCATGCCAATTTTTCTAAAATGTGGAAGGTGACCAAATGGTTTTCCAAATTCATTTTTCACCAATTTAAATATCATCCCTACTACACATCCATTACCACACATCCATGGTCCAACATGCCACAACATGGCCAATCTACTCGCATTGCCATTAAAACCCAAACTTTGCATTTCTATTTAAAACACAGAGATTAGGGGTACTTACCACAAATCAACCTGCAATGCCTCAAGGAAGGTATTTCAACTCCCAAAGATACAATGCAAAGCTCCAAGCTCCAAGGGAAGCCTCAAATTTGTGGCCCTCACAAGTCAAAATCTCCCAACCCAAGCCTCCACAATGGTATATGGGTTATGTTTCCCTAACCAAACTAAACAACTTTGCCTTTAGTTCCACTTGAATCCATGAAGAAACCAAGAAGCTAGGTTTTGAGGGTTCTTAAATGCTCAAAAATAGAGTTTGCTTCGAGTTGGTGAAGATGGGAGTGGGTTTGGTGAGCTGAAATCAAGTCACTTAAGCGTTTTTCCGTGTCCCGCGTTGCTCACTCAGCATGTCGCTCTAGCGAGTAAATTGCCCAACGAGTGGCAGCAAACATGGCCTTCTACACAGAAGCCCATTTCCTCTCACTTAGGCCCACTCACACTCACTTAAGCCCATTTGCTCTCTCTTAAATGGTCTTCCTACATGAATACACACACACCACATTGATTGAACTAAGTGTCACACTTATTTTATCTACAATGTGATAATTAATATTTAATCTAACCTTTATATTAAGCCTCACACTTAATTAATCTGATTATTTATGATTAAATAACTAATCCAATGCAATTAGGCATTTAACAAATTAGGGTTATTATACTAAAGAAACTAACTATCATCAAATGTGTGATGCCAGAGGGTAAGGCTACACATCCAGTGGGGACCTACAGGATCATCCAAGTGTAGGTAGAATTAGCATCTTTAATATGTTTTATGGTGTAAATTTATTTGGAGAAAATTATTGTTTGCGGACCTAGATTGCATATCTGGTCAGTTTGTTATCTTGTAATTGCATACGTAGATTGCCCTATTTTACCATTAGTTGATAATTTACTTTACTATTTAGTCTATTTTGCTTCCACTCATTTTGTTCTTTAGTTCTTTATTTTATTTTTTTATTTTACGCTTTTCATACATTATACACACACAAATATATATATATGGCTTTAATAGCTCTCCTGTTGCTGCAGATCAGAAAATTTGCAGCAACACTTACTTCCACTAGGATCCGGTTTCGTATCTTGGAATTTTATTTTATTTTTAATTTCAGGACCCGGCTCTGTATCTTATGTGAATATATTTGCTGCAAATTTTTCCATCAGCAGTGATAGCAGAAATGACGAACCCTATATATATATATATAAGTAAGAATAAGAAGTCTTATGCTCATTTTTGGTCATTGATCTACTTGTATCCAATTGTTTACATAACTAAAAAATTAAAATCGTTAGATATAGGTGGCATCAATGACCAAGATTGAGAGTGTAATTTACACTGTTGTAAAATGATCTTAACCCATATGTTACAATATTTGTAATATGACTCATTTTAGCAATTAGTTATATTTTCTTAAAAAAAAATAGTAATATATTATGATTCATATTATATGGTATCATACTTTTAATTCAAAAAGATTGTTTCTTATGCAATTATGACATCATAGTTTGACAATTGGGACCCACCAAACTATGCTGATTAAATATATGCAAACTACTAATGACTTTGTTCTTCGTAATGAGTGAAGAGCTTTTTTATGTTATTATGAATGGATATACAATGTGGTATGGTGACTGTGAGAACGTCATTATGCCTAATACTTCATTTTTCAGGTTGATGAATACCCTGTGTATTGTATGGCAACTCCTACCATCTCTGGTGCTAAGGAGATGCTATCCTATTTGGATGCTAAGCCTAAACCTGCCTTCACTGCTCAAAAAGTTATATTGACTGATTTGAGAGAGGAAGCAATTGTTTATATCAATTGTACTCCCTTTGTGCTGAGGGAATTAAACAAACCAGTTGATACACTCAAGCACGTGGGAATCACTGGTCCTGTGGTGAGTCATCTTGTACAATATTTGTCAACATATCACAAAATTCTTTATGTTGCACAACTCATGGTAACTACAATCCAGGTGGAACACATGGAAGCACGGCTGAAAGAAGATATACTAGCTGAGATTAGACAGTCTGGTGGGCGAATGCTATTACACCGTGAAGAATATAACCCTTCAACAAATCAGTCTAGTGTGGTTGGATACTGGGAAAACCTTCGGGCAGATGATGTGAAGACACCTGCGGAAGTTTATTCTGCTCTGAAAAATGATGGATATGATATTATCTATCGGAGGATACCCTTAACAAGAGAGAGAGATGCTTTGGCCTCTGACGTTGATGCAATACAGTACTGTCAAGATGAGTAAGTGTCCCTACTTGGCAGTATATGTATCTTCTAAAGTTTGCTGACATTTTTGTTGTTGCACTGGTTGCATTAATATACTATTTGTGAATAGAATTGTAACCGACCTATTTTTGTTTATAATTTTGGGGGCCTTGCTTTGCCTCCAAAATGCAGTCATGAAATTTTTGTAACGATTTGGCTTATTGGCGTATAGCACTATATGTGTTAATTGCGGTGCAGGCAATAGTCGCATTGTTATTAATATGTTCCCTGTGTGTCTAGAAACTGTAATATCACTATGTTAATTGTTGAGATATATAGTCCCACATTAGTTGTATGTGCAACTAATATGGAATTTATAAGGTCTTGGACACTCCCACCCTTTGAGCTAGCTTTTGGGGTGGTGTATCCCAAGGTTCTTTACATGGTATCAGAGCCTCGCCGCCTCCCACTTTCTCTTGTGGCGTTTCTTAGCACAGGTAGGCTGGGCCTGTTGCATTGTCCACTCTTCAAGCCCAATGGGCTCTCGTGTGAGGAGGCGTGTTGAGATATATAGCCCCGAATTGGTTGTATGTGCAATTAATGTGGAGTTTATAAGGTCTTGGACACTCCCACCCTTTGAGCTAGCTTTTGGGGTGGTGACTTCAAGGTTCTTAAGATTAATCTAAGTTGTTCTTCATTTAAATATAAAAATGTACTTCTAAACTCTTGCTTTTTTGTAGCTCTGCAGGGAGTTACCTTTTTGTATCGCACACAGGTTTTGGTGGAGTCGCATATGCAATGACCATCATCTGTATTAGACTCGGTGCAGGGGCAAACTTCGCATCCAAAGTCCCACAGCTATCATTTGGTCCTCATATATATGCAGTGACTGAAGAGAACTTGCCCCCTCGAGCTTCTAATGAAACAGCACTGAGGATGGGCGACTATCGTGACATTTTGAGCCTTACAAGAGTCCTCGTACATGGTCCCCAAAGCAAAGCAGATGTTGACGTTGTCATTGAAAGGTTATTAGCCAAAGTTTGATCAAAATTTTTACTAACCATATGTTATTTAAGAAAATGTGTTCAACATCAAAGTGGATAAACTAATTAATGTTCTCTATAATGTAGAAATGTATGTTGTTCGAGATATGGTATTCTCCATGTCCTTTCCCTTTTATTGGGTGAAGGGGGGACTTTCACTGGTTCAATTTTACCTTTACAAATGTATCTTGTTTTCACTTTTGTGGTTATGAAATAGCTTTTGCATCATTTAACCATTGGGGATATTTGATCTGGCAACATAGATTAAGATATTAATTATTGGCTTTTTATTAAAGGTACTGAAATTTTCTATTATTTCATTTAGATGTGCAGGCGCAGGGCATATACGGGATGATATTCTTTATTACAATAAAAAATTTGAGAAATTTACTGATGATGATGATGAGGAACGTGCATATCTTATGGACATGGGTATCAAGGCTTTGAGGTAAATTTACCTGCCTCACCGACAGAAATGTTTTCTTGGTACTCACAGAAAATATATCTGGAATATGGAAAATATATCAAGGCTTTGAGGTATCAATAAATTTTTTCTAAAAAAATATCTGGAAAATGGATCATCCCCTTACGGATGCTGATGCCTATATATAGCGTGGGGTGGGGGTCGACTGACTCGGATGCAAGAATTGATATATAGAAAATTATTTTGATCAATCCAACCCGAGAACTAGCTAATTATTATGTACATCTTGCATGCTTTTACTTTAGAATTTTAAAAAAGGGTCTAAAGTTTATTCTTTTAAAGTAAATAACTTACATTCTTTTAATAATTTATAATTATATATTACAAGTAATATATAATTATAATATTAAAGTCTTATTTTTTTTTCACTTTCCATATTAGCAAATAGTGTCTAAAGAGAGAGAGAAAAAATATAACTTTCATATTATAAGTATTTACTATTTGTAGTACGTAGTTGTAAATTGTTAAAAGAATACAAGTTACATCTTTTAAAATGACAAATCATTTTCTCTTTAAAATACTATCTAATCAAACGATAATTTAGATATTTAGTTTCGTTGAAAAGCAAATTATACATTAATTTTAATAAATTACATTTTGATAGTTTGAAATAATGTTACATGATGCAAACTTTTTCAATCTAACAGTGAATTTATAAGAAAATGTTTCTTATAAAAAGTTTCTTATTGGGGTAAAAGATTGACTTTGATTTACACCAGTGTTCACACACCTGGACAGTTGAATCATAACTATCTATCATGTTGATGTTGCGATTGCAACACGTCAATTTTTTTTTTAAAAAAGAAAAAACATTACATGATCTGTGAAATTTGTGAGGTAGTCATTACATAAAAAATTATTCAGTGTGTACGATTGCTTTTGATTTACATCGCTGGGGAGTGTGGCGATTATATTGTTTACACGTAGGACATGTGCTATTTTGTTGTGTAACCATTTCTGTTTTCCCCCCTCCATCTGCAGGCGGTATTTTTTCCTGATCACGTTCAGATCCTATCTCTATTGCACCTCTCCTGTCAATACGGAATTTGCTGCATGGATGGGTGCAAGACCAGAGCTTGGTCATCTATGCAACAATCTAAGAATTGATAAATAATATACAATGCTTATAATCATGTTAATCTACAGTTGCCATTTGCTGTTACAGTTTGTCCACCTATAGCCTCTCTTTCCCGTGCCTGCACAATGCCTTATTTTTGCTCATAATGTCTCGAAATGCAGTACACACTTGGCTACTTTGCAAACTGCTATCTTAGGCAGAGCAGCATCCTGTAATCCGCTTCTGTTTAGCTTGTATGTTTGAGAAGCTGGCTCTGAAGTAAGGCCCGAATGTATAAAAAGGCTCACAGGAGCAATTTCTGATTGCTAAACTAAGAAGTCTAGCGTGTAAGAGAAGATATTGGTGGACAGAAGTGTTCATTGGAGACCCATTTGGCATTATGTTACGCTGCTGAGGGTTATTATATATCTCTTCCAAAGATTGTATTTCTATTTCAGTGGTTGTTTGGGAGGTTAGTAAAAGGGTGAAATGGAGTACTTCATGACAGAGGAGTGGGACGGGGAAGAGTTATCATTCTAGTTGAGGGGAGGATGGTTCCCTGTAAACACAAGTTCCATGAATGTCATTAAGAGCCTTGATTATTTCACTCAAAAGTCTATTTTGTCATTTTTGAAGTTGTTAATTCTCTCTTAGCTTAATATAGTCTATTTGGAATGAGCACGCCGGTTAAAGCCCATTAGCTTAATATTCTAGTCTCGCCGCCAATTATATTTTGCTGTTTATCTCCTGCTCTCCTTCCCACGAACTCTTTCGCATTTCAGTTCTCGTATCGTATCCTGTAAAATGAGTTCATTTTAACTGTAACCTTTTTATTTAATTTTCTGCATAGCTTTTTATTGAAAAGAAAAAAGCTTGTTACAACACATTCTTCCTATATATAGGTAGGATTTTTTTGACACCGGTGTCAAATTTGAAGTTTGACACCTTATCTGAGAATCGTTAGATCAACAACAAAGATTAATGGTGTCACATGCTTACAAATTGGAGTCGTTGATCTTTTTTGATCTAATGGCTCGAAGTGTCAAATTTCAAATTTTGACACTGATATCAAAAGATCTTGCCCTATATATATATATATAGGGTTCCTCATTTCTGCTGTCACTGCTCAGCAAATATATGTACATAAGATACGGAGTCGGATCCTGAAATTAAAAAAAAAAAAAATCAAAATATGAAACCGGATTCTAGTGGCAGGGTGGCAGTAACATGAGAGCTATTAAAGCCATATATATATATATATCATCTCGCATGAACAAAGCATATCTATACTCCCCTGATGTTGTACGTTTTTAAGTGACATAGGACGTACCCATTCCTGCAATGTCCTGCATTCCAGCTAACTATGCTCATTCTGTCGTGGGCAGAATTATGGTCAGCATCAGTCTCCTCAATTTTCCCATAATTCTGATATATGGCAGCCTGTTTTGCTTTGTGAGGCAATCAACAACGTTATGGGTTGAATCCACTTCTTTGGTTTTTGACTTTTTGTTGTGTAATTTGAGTTGATAACGGAAGCTAAATTAGAAGTAGGCAGCTTGGACATTCTTCTAATTGAATTGATTTTTATAATGACTCTTTAACGACTAAAAAGCTGGTGTTAATATACGATGCACCGTTGCTTTAGCCTTTCTCTAGCCAGCTAGAGAAAGAGAAACTGGATTCCAGGCAGAGAACAAGTTTATTTTTTATTTTATTTTTGGTAAATAGAGAACAAATAATAATTATTATCATTATGACGATGATAAAATAAAGTCGTAATTTACAATTTGATTCATTTGAAACGTATTAGCCTTTAATTCACGGTTAGCTTCATCAGACCGATACCTCAAAAGAGAGGGAAACAGCGTACATGATCGACAAAAACAGCGTGCATTTAGGAATAATGATGCGATTTTGGCTTTTAGTGTATTGTAAGCTGCTGAGAATCTTTAGAAACTTATGACCCGGTTTGTGTTGTGTAAGAGATTTTCTGATCCTAATTAAAAAGAGGGGAAAAAAAAGAAGGTTTTGTGCTATTAAGCCATTCCTTGCTCTACCTTGAGGGAAACCACATTGCTTTAATTCTTTTAAATATAATCACAAAAACATCATATGGTGCATGGACAAACCCAACATGCAAACATATGATGCTGCTTTAATTTCCTTTTTTTCTCTTCCCTTGTCGATTGCTTAAACAAAAGGGTCTGCGATGCTTCTTATTTCCATTTATATACAATTCCTTGCCATTTATGAACTATTGGATAGATGGAGAGCATTTCCAAAAGTTCTGACGTCGTTTGTTGTTTATTCACTAGTTTTTTTTTTTTTATAGATAATCTAGTTGAGTAAGCTCTGTCTTGAACTAGTAAACTTCGACTTTAAATAACAACGGGTTTGTTCAACCGCTTGAGAGAAGAATCAAAAGAAGATAGTCGTCCTGGTGTGTTTCAATTTAGAAATGATAATGGCAAGTGAGTTACTTGGATTTCCCATGTTACTGGGTTCAAAGAAGCCATCTTTCCACCGTGACAGGATTCTGTCTTCCTCATTCTCTGGTAGCAGAGTGAACTTGGTGCATTCAAAGAATGCAGAATCTGGTTTTCCTTTAGGAAATTTCTTTAGTGTTACACAGAGATACAAAGCTAAAAGATTTTTCGCTACTTCTACTCTTGCAGACGTTGCAAGTGATTTTATGGTAACTTCACTTTCATTCCGCTTCCTGAATGATGTCTTAGTTTGTATTAATGCCACGATATATCGATTTAGTTTTACCTGATTACTCAAGTATAAAAAGTATTCATGGAAAAGCTACCATAATGAAGATATATTCTTTTTAACCAGGGTTGTTGGTGGACTTATTATATATTGAATATGAATTTACCTAGATAATACTGCATTTCAGGCCCTTCAATCACCAATCCTTGCAGGACCAGAAGCCGACCCAAAAAATGTTGCATCGATCATATTAGGTGGTGGAGCTGGAACTCGTTTATTCCCCCTTACTCAAAGAAGGGCTAAACCTGCTGTAAGCTATTGAATTCACTAGTCTCTCTGTATATATTTTTATGTTCTTCACTTCTTCCAGGTTTAGGCTTAAATTCACTAGTATGCGTGTGTCTTTTTATGTTCTTCATGTCATGCTCAGGTTCCAATTGGAGGATGTTATAGACTGGTGGACATACCAATGAGTAATTGTATTAACAGTGGAATTAATAAAATTTACGTCCTTACACAATTTAATTCTCAGTCTCTCAACCGCCACATTGCTCGAGCATATAATTTTGGAAATGGCATCAACTTTGGGGGTGGTTTTGTTGAGGTACACATTTTCTTTTCTTTTTTTTTTTTTTTTTTTGGGGTCTTCTATAATTATTGTTAATATTTTTTTACCTTTATTTGAGTCATGTCTCAGGCTAGACACGCAGACTAAAAGTTTGTTATGGTAGGTATTGGCAGCAGCTCAAACACCTGGTGAATCAGGAAAGAAATGGTTTCAGGGTACTGCCGATGCTGTAAGACAATTTCTTTGGTTGTTTGAGGTATGCCATTATTCTTTTTCCTGCTCATAAAATTATAGATTAGGCAGAGTAGTTCTTTTGTCCATAAGCAGATAGGATTGACACAGATGCAAGAGTTTAAGATTTGACTGGCAAGGTATTTATGTCATTCTTACATTGACAACACTGATTGAGTAGGATGCTGAGCATAAAAACATAGAGAACATTCTGATATTGTGTGGTGATCAACTCTATCGAATGGATTACATGGAACTAGTGCAGGTTGGTATTAGCTGTTTTGCTCATTCACTTTCACTAGGTGAATATTTCACATGACAACTGATTTATATCTGCAGAAGCACATTAATTCATGTGCTGATATATCGGTATCTTGTCTCCCTGTGGATGGCAGGTATTCTAAGTAAAGTTTCCCCCTAAGACCATATAATTGGCACTTTCAATTGTACACATTCAGTTACTGAAATATTTACATTTTTTTTTTTTTTTTCCTGTAGTCGAGCCTCTGATTTTGGATTAGTGAAGGTTGATGAAAGTGGGCAGATACGCCAGTTCCTGGAAAAACCCAAGGGCGAATTGTTAAGATCTATGGTTGTTACTCTTCCAATTTCCTCTCAACAGATTTGAGTAATATATAATATTTTACAACTTCAGTTGTCAATCTGGAATCACTTGTATCTAATTGAGGTACTTGTTCTCATAGCATGTAGATACGAGTGTTTTTGGGCTATCAGCTCAAGAGGCAAGGAAATTTCCATATATTGCATCAATGGGTATATACGTTTTTAAAATAGACGTTCTGCTAAAACTTCTCAGGTAATTAAGTTTCTTTGTGCAGTTTGTGTTTTCCCTTGCTGGTTCTTATTCCCCCATTTTTAGTAGAAATATCAGTTTTGGATCTATAAAAGTAGTGAAGTAATTGTCTCCCTCCCTCAGTGCAATAATTAATGGGCTATATATTGAATAAATGATGACATTAGGCTCTACCTAACACAAGATTAATATGAATAAATAATTTGTGGTAGATGCTTTAACTAGTGGTTGGCTTGACATCATTTCATGGGTTATATTGTCAAATATAGAAAGCTTAGGATTAACATATGACTGCTTTTTTTCATTTTTCTTTGATGAAAAATTTTCAGGGACTGTTATCCTAATGCAAATGATTTTGGATCCGAGGTCATTCCAATGGCTGCAAAAGATTTTAACGTCCAGGTAATTTGTAAGTGAAAATTACTCTAGTTTTGCTAAGTATTCTGTTGATGTAGTTTTTGATGAATGCATTGAGCTATCATATTTTGTGTTTATGGTAAATAATCAAGGATTCAAGGTTGGCCCTTTAATTTCATCACAGGCATGTCTTTTCAGTGGTTATTGGGAAGATATTGGGACTATAAAATCTTTCTTTGATGCGAACTTGGCTCTTACGGATAAGGTAGGTTTTTTAGTATTTAAAAGTTATAGGTGCCGGTCAGAAAACCAAATCCAATGAGTTTATACAAGCTGCAATTTACTGTTCTTCCATGTTGAAGCCGCCAAAGTTTCAGATGTATGACCAATCAAAGCCTTTATTTACATGTCCTCGGTTCCTACCACCAACTAAAATGGAGGAGTGCCAGGTAGGTACAACTGTATAACTTAGTCCTTATAACTGACCTTTTGTGATTCTAATGGGACCTAATGAGATTGTGCAATCACGTCAATTGTAGGTTATTAATTCTTTGATTTCAGATGGTTGCTTTTTAAGAAAGTGCATAGTTGAACATTCCATTGTGGGAATTCGCTCCCGACTTGATTCTGGAGTGCACCTAAAGGTAACTCTTGTTTTTTTAGGAAAAAATCTACAATACTACAATAGTACGTCAGACAATAATATAAAATATTAAAAAAATTCTCACCTAATATTTTAAGATTTTGAGTTGAAGTAGCGCTTAACATGATATGTATATTCCACCAACAAGAGTATAACATATTAGCTGCTAATATGTTTTCTGAAAATAGAAAAAATAAAATAAATAAATTTAATACTATAACTATTAATAATGTATATGCTTTGGTTTTTTAGAATGGAGATCATTATGAACTACTTCATTGTAATATAAGTTTTTTATTTGGAACAAAGCGTTCTCCTTGTCCATTTTTCTCCTCATAGTTTCCTTCCTTTATTCTGTGTCAAATGTATGGGAACAAGTGTTCTCTGCTCAACTTCTCTTAACCTGAGATGAAGCCAAATTTGTCATGCTTACAATCACTTTACAGGATACCATGATGATGGGTGCTGACTATTACCAAACAGAGCCTGAAATAGCAGCTCTTTTAGCAGCGGGAAATGTTCCAATAGGCATTGGGAAAGATACCAAAATTGTGTAAGAATTCAGAAAAACTGAAAATGCTTTGTCGTAATTTCACATTATACGTGAACAAATTTACATGACTTTGAGGTATCCTAATCTTTGGACTGATACTATTGGCCTTCAATGCATAATGTGTACATAGACAACGTGCACATAAACAAAATTATGGGAACAACCAATTTGCTTTTTCCCTTTATGTTGGAATTGAATGGGAGAAGTTCAAGTTGTATATTAGCAAGTTTAACTTAGACCAAAACAAAAGTTAGCACAATTTATTCTTCTAAAAGTAGAAATACAATAAGAAGGATTCGCATAATATTCTATGTGGAGTTTTATTACCGTTTCTTTCGCTCCTGTTATGTCTTTATAGGCTACACGTGTACATGCTAGTCTATATTATGACTCATATACGAATCTTATATGCAGGAATTGTATAATTGACAAAAACGCAAGAATTGGAAACAATGTAATCATTGCAAACAAAGAAGTAAGTAATAATTTAGTTGTCGAAGTTTTTTACTTTCTCCAGCCTTTTTCATTTTGAAGTTTCCCCCCCAAAAAAAACAGAGGGGGCAAATGGTTTCTCTAATTGGCGATTGAGATGTTAGTTGAGATTTGTGAATAGATGAGAAGATCTGTGTCAAATTAAGATCAGTATATGTAGAACTGTTTACCTATACTTCCACAAGGATAGCATGTTACATGCCTTGTATCTTTGTTAACATACTAAACATACAATTTACTCCTTATATTATACATGTTAAGTAAATTTTTGGATATTGCATGTTTGGATTAGTTTATTTTAAAATAAATAATAATAATCAAAAACTAATTATTTTCCAAAATTTATTGTTTCCAAAATGTTATGGTTAATTGGTCTTTCAATGATTTAAGCGCAACCTTTACCGGACAAACAGTCTGATGGCGATCCAATTGTACGTTTAGTTTTTAGGTTGAGTGTCGAAAGAAATAAAAAAATTATCTTTTATACACATATAAAAGTGTGTGACTTATGTGGGCCCCTGTAAGAAAAAAAGATATGAGCCATACATATTATTATATGTAAAAGATAAATTTATCTCCTAAAATATGAGAAATGATAAATCTTTAATTTTATTTATATTTATAGGTTAATATGATACTTTTGAGACTAATACTTCTTCAACCAGGTTCGTCCTTGGTTAACTAAAATGAGTATTGTGTAATATGATTATTTTTTCGGTAAAAAAATTTTTGGGTCCCGAAAAATATATATTATTCCCATTAATCTTTAAAAAAATTAATTCCGAAGTTTCTAAAAAATTTAAAATGGACCATTTAGTTAGAATTATTGTCTTTCACAAATTCAAAAAAAAATTACATTAATCCCTTAAAATGATTAAAATAAGTTCACTTTAAACTTCATAAGAATTGAACGGCTGGTTTTTATTTTATAAGAGACTAAACGTATTTTTTTTGTTAGGAATAAATGACAATTGTACTTTGGGTGCAGAATGTGCAGGAGGCGGACAGACCCTCCGAGGGGTTTTATATTCGATCAGGAATCACGGTGGTGTTAAAAGACTCTGTAATAAGCAATGGTACAATCATTTAATAAGCAATGGTTATCAAGGGGTGATGGGAAAACAGAGCATCGAAGATATAAACGGAGGGTATATAATATAGTCCAAGCTTCAAACTTTAGCTCTGAATAAGTTTTACTGTCCTGGAATAATGGCTCGAGTATCAATTTTTGAATCTTCCATCATCGAAATCAAGAAAGTTCACATTCATTTGGCGGAACATTTTTTGTTGGCTCATTCAACGTAGGGGGCTACAAAATTGTGCAGACAATTAAATTCTCTTGTAGCTTTATTTTGTATCGCTGTTATGATGAGCCAAGATGGCTAATGAATTAGTTGAGATTATTTGCATAGTTGAATAATATTATTGGAATAAGAGAAGATAACAGTCAGTCGGAAAAAAGAAGCACATATCATATTATGTTCCATTGTTCACGAGTCATAGACTCAGAAGATATAAACTATATATGATCAAGGAGGAAAATGTCAACACACTAGTGATTATCAGCTTACTAGTAGTGACTATCAGTAATCTGAAGCCAAAATTATAAATCAGCTTGGTCGTTGAAAATGATAGTTTATGTACAAGTAAACTTTTGCCAAATTTTTCCATTTAGATATTAGCTAGATCTAGACTAGTTTTTTTTTTTTTTACTAAAAAAGTAGATATTTTTGTAATAATTATAGTAAGTCAACGACGCTTTTGTTCGATTATTTTATTTTGAATACCAAACTTAATTATTTCCCTAAGACGAATAGAATTACTAGGTATCTCCATATGTTTTGGATTCTTTGAAATCGGTTACGGGACTAATCACGAGTTTAGGACGGTCAAATTAAAATTTTATGTCCCTTCCGTTCGATTATATGATAAAGTCAAGAATTGGTTTAGCATTCGAGGAGCATATGATACATGAGTAAACTCTGCAATGTTGGCTGATTAATTGAAGAGACAGGGTTTAAGAAATTGCTTTCTTCATCATTGAACCAACTTGAATATTTTATTTCTAACCACGTTATTTTTCTATGGTAGTACTAACTTATATATGGGAATAGGAAACAAATTTTATTACATATTTGAGTCGAAATGCTTCACTGCTAAGCAAGACTTAACATCTTGCGAGATTGGTGATCTATAACTCTGGTAGTTGAAGGGCTTTCCACGAAGATAATTTCATAGCCATCATGGAAGCTATCCAATCCTTGAGCCATGAGGTGCCAAAAAAGCCCACCCGCACATGGTCCCCCACTACTAGCGCTACTGTATATGGCATTATACAATTTTCTAATGTAATCGTCCCTTTCTTCTACGCTATATCCTAATGACTTTGAAGACTTGCCAAACTCCCCAAGAATAATAGGCTTTCCCAGAACATTTTTGGAGTCTTGAATGTGTGCTTGTACCCATTTGTCAACAAATGCAGCCTGAGCAACTTCGTTTGAGCCTGACAACCTGCATCCATGTATAATTTACCTTATAGCAATCTATTGTTGTGTTTGTTATAAGATTCATAATATCATTAATTAAAAATAAGTAAGTGTACCATTGATCAGGGTAGAGATGAATGGTGGCAAAATCAATTTCGGGAACTTGGTTGTTAGAAATGAAATCAGTACCAACTTGGAATCCAGGATTGAATTTTTTCTTTTCTGGCATTGTTTCACCATAGAACCCTTCGAGTCCTACCTCTAGCAAATGAATGTTATCAATGGATTTGACGTAAGAAGCCATCTCAATCACCCATTCCTGCAAGAGTTAGGATACGGCGTGTATTATCATCTATATATTTTTGAAAATTTGATGACCAAGTTTAGTTTTATGGGATTTATTATCCTCACTATCAATGTCCACATCTCTCCGATAATATTGTTTTTTTTTTTTTTGGCTCTCCCAAAATTGGGTGGCCTATTTCTTCTAGGCATCTTGAATTTAAAGAAGGAACAATATGGGCAATTATGTACTATTTTTGCTGTCAAACTCAAGAAAGAAAGCTACGTACATACATATGCACACACATATATATAAGACTCAAAACAAATATATATAGCAGAGATTATGAGAGAAAAGGACCTGAATAACTTTTCCGGAGTTGTCGTTTAGGGAACGTGGTTCATTAATAAGTTCCCATGCAAAAATGGCTGGATCGTCCTTATATGCCACCCCAGTTATTGTATTTTTTCTGGTCAGCACAGCCTGCAAGATAATTTAAACCGTAAAAAATTATCAACTTTTATATGGGGGCATTGTTGAATAAGAAAAAAAAAATCTAGATATTTTATTGATAATAACAAATTATAGAAACGAAAATAATGAAGAAGGTTTATGATGGCGACTTGCCTTAATTACTGGAACTCTTGTCAAATTATAATTTAAGATCAAACTAGATTTTCGGTTAACATTAAATTATTTAAATTCTTACTCATTTTATTATATCTAAAATTAAGTACCTATATTAAATTACAAGCTCAGTATATCTTAAGCGAAAATTTTATTAATACCCCTAATATTGTTTGCTTTAGAATCAAAAATACCCCTTAAGCTTTTTTTAATCAGTAATATCTCTATGGTATGAGTGTTTAATCAAAAATACCATTTTAGAGAAAAAAAAATACCCCTTCACTTCATAGTGATCTACATCAGATTCAAGCGACGGCAGAAACTCTTATACGTAAACTTAGGTACTCAAAAAAGGTTCGTAGCGTTTGCTAGCGTACTCATGCATGCTTTGCTTATTGCATTGGCTCACCTTAATATGGTTTTTATAGTACTGCTTGACCAAAGGGATTGTAAAGAAGTCGTCTTCGTCGCTAACATACTGGCCATCTTCCTTTGCCCATTCCACATACTGATTTTTACCACCAAAATCTTTCCAGTTGTTCACTAAGCTCAGTATCAGCCGCACACCATATTTTCCAGCTTCGGATATCACAAAATCCAACCCCTACGCCAATAAAGAACCAACGTAACGTGTTAAATATAAACATAGATTATAGATAAGTTAAATATAAAAAAAAAAAAATAACTTTTTCATATATTAATAATACAAAATAATATTATTAAATATTGAAGATGCAATTAATACCCTGAAGACTTTCTCATCATAGATACCGGGAGAAACCTGAAGGGCTCTATAACCTCCATCACTGAAAGCCCAAGTTCTTGCAACACTTAAACCATGTTGGGAAGCTTGTTGTAAAGTGGTAGTGACCTTGGACCTTGTGGATGGGTCAGATGCCGTATACATTAACCAGTAGGCGTTGAATCCATTGAAATAGAAACGCTTCCCATTCAGAATGAAATTCGTGCCACTTCGTTGAACGAAGCCATCATGTTGACGTGATATTCTGCGTGCTGAGTTATTCATATAATCACCCTCCATGCACTTCACATGTTGAACAACAACAACCAAGGCCACCATGAAAGTGGTAAAGACTAGATTTTTTAGACATCCATCCAAGTACACCATATCGCTTAGACCTGAGAACCACACAAATATATCACTACCAAATTCCATCAACGATATGTCGTTTATATATATGTTTTCTTTTTGGGTAAAAAGAGAAAGTGGGAACTTAATTCGATTTTTGCACAAGTAACTAAGCGTATTAGTTTATGAAAATAATATTTTAAACGAATAATTAAAATAGTGACTGTGCTTCCCCAAAAAAAAAGTTACTGTGCCGATTCAATTAAAAGCTACTTATTAATGAGAATATATATGGTACCAATCAGAAGGACCAAAGCCAAAAATAATAAATCAGAAGAGACAAAGGACGAAAGAGCATAAGCTTATGAGAAAGGGAAGAGTTTCTAACTTTCAGGTTCTGTGGAAAATGGTCAACTCTTGTGGAAAATACGAAGCGACACTTACATTACAAGAGCAACCGGAAGGATTTTGTTATACGGTTTACAAAAGTGCGCGCACTGAGACAATAAAATATTGATAAATTAATAATTTTACTAAATAAATACTATAGCGATTAGCGAAGGTTTTCAAACCACATTACAGGAGATTGCAAAATTGCATTCTCAGCATTATTTTGGTACTGCAAGATATTTTGGATGTACATAAGCCTGAAAGGAATAAAATTTGATTGATCTATATAAGTTGTCCTACACTCCTACTTGAATAAAAGAATATATATATATACTAATAATAATGCTTTATTTTCAAGAAAGGATAAATGCTAAAGTTTTATACATATATATTCATTATTAAATTGAAAACATATACTACAACTATTAATATTGGGGCTCTAAGCTTCTATTACAACTATTATTATTAGGTGATTCAAGTAATCAAAGTCAACTAAGCTAGTTTAGTAAAATAAAAATTAGAAAAAAAAAATTTGGCAGATCATCGTTGACAGGTCAATGATCATTTCTTAAAAAATAAGCTTCAAATAAGTTTAAAGAAACTTTATTCTCCCACAACTTCTATGTAGAAATAAGAAGAGAAGAGATTCCTCCATTTCTTATAAACAATAGAAATGATGATTATGAACAACTAAAGATACATAAGAATTTTATTTAGGGGTAAAGGATAAATAAGAAATAGAGTTTGTAAGTCATGTCTTAAAGTCAAACTTATAAGTAGAATCTTACTCAGTAGATATATGCAATAAAACATCTATGTTTAAGATTAAAGTAGAGGCATATCTGGAAGAAAAGAACCAAATAATGCTAGTTCAAGGTTTCCATTCTCAGAAGCAATTGGGTCATGAATGGAGACTAACTTAGTCCCATCATGAAAGGTGGCTTCAACTTACATTCAATTTTATTTAACAAAATGATGACAATAACATTTGGCAAATTTTTTCTTTCTGTCTCTGTATGAGCCAGGGGAATGGGGAAGAATGGAGAGTACTAAGATAAATCACAACAAAAATTGACCTATATCCTTTTGAAGTTTTAAGGACCCCCATAATAAAGAGATTGAAATGGGCCAAAATAAATTAAAAATAATTTTTCTAAAATAAAAATGAAACACAGAAACAAATAAACATTTATTTTTTCAAAATTATTCCTGGCACAAAACATGGAAGACCTTCAAGAGTAACAAGTTGACAGAGCTGATTTCATGCTATATGCACAAAGCCATTTGGGAGAGTGCTTTTTGAAAGTATTTGTATAACATAGTCATACTGCAAAAATGATACAAGTACCTAAACAGTATCAAAGAGATGTGGAACCGCTGGAAGAACTTGTCTCCTGTTAAAATATGAATACAAATTCAGATTTTCTAAACTAAAAAAAAAAGGTTCATTCAACTTTTTCTACCGCAGAATTACATCAATTTATAAAGAGATGGAAATATTTTAGGAAATATTAAACAGAAGGTTATTATAGCAGCTGATATGGTAGTTATTAATAATTATTAATTTATTATTATAATTCGATAATATTAATTTACATAAATATTAAACTATTTCACTAATTATAATTCACTACTTAATTAATTCACTAATTAGGCTTTAGGCTTTTATCCTAAACTATTATAGATACAGAAATATTATCCAAGGAAATATTAAACAGAAGGTTATTATAGCAGCTGATATAGTAGTTAATTAGTTATTAATAATTATTAATCTACTAATTATAATTCACTACTTAATTAATTCACTAATTAGGCTTTAGGCTTTTATCGTAAACTATTATAAATACAGAAATATTATCCAGGGAAATATTAAACAGAAGGTTATTATAGCAGCTGATATGGTAGTTATTAATAATTATTAATTTACTAATTATAATTCACTACTTAATTAATTCACTAATTAGGCTTTATGCTTTTATCGTAAACTATTATAAATACAGAAATATTATCCAAGGAAATATTAAACAGAAGGTTATTATAGCAGTTGATATGGTAGTTATTAATAATTATTAATTTACTAATTATAATTCACTAATATTTATTTAAAAAAATATTAAACTATTTCACTAATTATAACTCACTACTTAATTAATTCACTAATTAGACTTTAGGCTTTTATCCTAAACTATTATAAATACAGAAATATTATCCAAGGAAATAATAAACAGAAGGTTATTATTAGGGGTGTTAACGGGCCGAGCCGAGCCGAGCTTTGATCTTAACGGGTCAAGCCTGTATTTAAACGTGTCCGACTGGCCTTAGCCTGTTACCTGTTACGAATATAATATTGGTCTGTGGCCTGATTTATTTACAAAAAATAAAAGCTTGTGTGAAGCATGTCTTAGCCTGTTAGCATGTTAAAGAATAAAAATAAGAGAACAGAATTCCACAAAAAATCAATTTCCAGATAGAAACCTTAGCTTCCAATTTGCAGCAATAATTTACAAAGTCTACAATAAATAAATAAAATTAAAGTGAGAGAAGGTAGATAACAGGTTATATTATCTTAGTCCATTATAAAAAAAAGTGCCAACAAAAATATAAATAAAATAAAAATAAATTGACACAAACGAGCAGTGCACAGTGGAACGAATGAGTTTTTGTGGGTTTGTTTGTGTGAAGGAGGATGAAGAATAATATAGAACAACACTAGTAATTCCATAAATATACATAAATTCAATATATATCCAAATAGCAAAATATAGAACAAAATCATTCAAAAAGTCTGTTAAACCAATAAAATGGGGTGAAATAAATGGATGAGAGAGAGTTATTACAAATTGTATAAAAAGTATAAATAAATATTTATATACTAGGCTAGCCTGGGAGGCTCTAAGGCCGAGCTTCTGAATTAGAGTCTGAGGCCTTTTTGTTAAACGAGCTTTTATACAAGTCAAAACCTGGTTCCAACACGAGCTTTTATTAAACGAGCTCAGGCCTTTACGAGCCGAGCCAAAGGCCCCTGGCTCGTTTACCACCCCTAGTTATTATAGCAGCTGATATGGTAGTTAATTAGTTATTAATAATTATTAATTTACTAATTATAATTCATTACTTAATTATTTCACTAATTAGGCTTTAGGCTTTTATCGTAAACTATTATAAATACAGAAATATTATCCAAGGAAATATTAAACAGAAGGTTATTATAGCAGCTGATATGGTAGTTATTAATAATTATTAATTTACTAATTATAATTCACTAATATTAATTTACAAAAATAGTAAACTATTTCACTAATTATAATTCACTACTTAATTGATTCACTAATTAGGCTTTAGGCTTTTATCCTAAACTATTATAAATACAGAAATATTATCCAAGGAAATACTAAACAGAAGGTTATTATAGCAGCTGAATAGTAGTTAATTAGTTATTAATAATTATTAATTTATTAATTATAATTCACTACTTAATTAATTCACTAATTAGGCTTTAGGCTTTTATCGTAAACTATTACAGATACAGAAATATTATCCAAGGAAATATTAACCAGAAGGTTATTATAGCAGCTGATATGGTAGTTATTAATAATTATTAATTTCTAATTATAATTCACTAATATTAATTTACAAATTTATTAAATTATTTCATTAATTATAATTCGCTACTTAATTAATTCACTAATTAGGCTTTAGGCTTTTATCATAAGGTATTATAAATAAAGATAGGATATTGTAACAATCAATTAGGGTTACTACAAATGTTACTACCAATCAATTTCACCGTTAAATCGATTATGTTGATCCAACGGTTATATCTATTTCTATTTTTGTATGGTTATGATTCCCCATATTTAATGTGAAAGCATTAAATATGGGGAATCATAATCATACAAATAAGAAAATAAATATAACCGTTTGATCAATATAATCGATCTAACGGTGAAATTGATTGGTAATAACGTTGATAGAAATCTTAATTGGTTGTTACAATATCATTGCCCTTATAAATAGTATATAAAATAATTTACAAAAGTTAATTACTAATCCCCTAATTATAATTGCTATTTCATTATTTTATTAATTATACTTACTAATTAACTATTTTACTAAATAGGCTTCTAACCTAGGGTTTGCAAATAACATATAAAACTAGAGAAATAATACTCTCGTGCTACATGAGAGTAAATCATTTTCCTACACAAATTCGTTTTCCGTGCCAATTAATTTTTTTTCTTTTTTAATATAAAATATGGGACACACATTTAACTTCTCTCTACTTTTTTTCTCTCCTATAATCCTACGACATAAGAAAACTTAAACCCATAAAACTATTTACCAGAATAAAAAATAATAAAAAGCTATTTACTTGCAATGTGAAACGAAGTGGTAGAGGAGAGATGACTAATAGAGATAGACGAAAATCAAATAGAGAGGAGAGAGTTAATACTTATAAGCTATTATGCACAAACACTGATATGGGATATGGGATATGGAACACGACACGACACGCTAACACGTTGATTTTTAAAAATAGCATATTTTGACATGTTGGGACACATTTTTAATATATATATATATATAATATAATTTATATTTAATACATATAACAATCCATAATAAGTTATATAACCAATCAAATATTCAAATTTTATAACAAAAAAAAATATATATTTTTTCGTACCTTGTTAATT